GGCTTTCATGTGTCTTGCACTGAGGAGAGGCTTCCGTCAGGCCACTCTGCCATAAAGCCCCGACTGGTGGAGGGCTGCAGTGATGGTTGACTTTCTACAACTTTCTCCCATCTCCCGACTGCATCTCTGGAGCTCAGCCACAGTCATCTTTGGGTTCTTCTGTACCTCTCTCACCTGAGCTTTAATGTGTTTCAAATATGCCACAATCTGTCATTTTTTTGTATTTCAATCAGACGTGAGTGTTCTGTATTTTCATTAGATTTAAGCATGATTTAGTTTTCTGAGAAAGGAGAAGTAGAATCTGGAGCTGTATCACAGTGGGGTGGAGGCCAGTTACGGGCAATGGACTTGAGCTTTGACAGTAAAAAAAATATGCAATAGTTCTGAAGAATACGACTTTGCACGCCAAATAAGGTATTAACTGCAAACTGCGGTGTCTGGTTGGATGAGAGGACTAAGTCTGCTGTCCAGAATCCTTTAAAAACCTGGGCAAAAATAGGAACGGGAGTATTCCTTCACAGTTTCCACCGGAGGCTCTGTCCGGTTGATTTTCTGACTTCCAGAAGACCGAGGCTGCCGAGAGGTGGGCCAGGAGAGCCCCTCTCTGTGGGTGCTCCCCCGTAGCCCATTCTGGCCTGTGAGGGTAAAATGGATGTAGGCGTGGGACAAGGGTACTGTGCAAATGTTCAGAAAGAAGAACACTGAATTTCTGGCTAAAAGATGATTTATGAAGAAATGAAGAATTTCAACAGAATGCCCCAATCCACCCCGGCCTGTGGGGGAAGATGGCTTGGAAAGAAGACAGAGGACTGGGGACAGATGCAGAAGATTTCCTGATACTCTTATCTTCCCTGTTTGATGAAAGAAGAGTGGAACAGAAGACGATCGATCTTGCTCTTTTGATTGTTTCTGTGTTTCTCAGAAGAAAAGATTTGGACCAAAAGAAGACTGTTTTTAGACGTTTTCATATCTTTATGTTTTCCGGAGTTACAGAAGATTTGACCAAGAAGAACATTGTTTTTCTGATTTTTGTTCCCTATTTTTCTCTTTGAGAGTTTTGAAGACTGAACCAGAATAGAATGAGGTTTTTCTGATTAGTTTAGATTTTTCTGTTTATCTATTAATTTTTTTTACTTTTATTCAGATCAAGAGCTTAGCTCAACCATAATAATTTTAATCAGTATAATTATTGTAGAGTGATGTTTAGAGATAGCTTTGTTGATTTATTTAGGTTGTAAGCCAATCAAGACAGTTATTGATGATTTTAAGGTTTATATTTTATTGCTTGCTGCTTTGCTGTAAATTTTTTAAGCTTCTATATAAAATTCCTGAAAAGGTTTAATACTCTGTGTTTATTGAGTCAAGTTTTGATGTTGTTAATTCTTATGATTTTAGTGGGTTTACACTTTTAAGTGGTAATGTTCAAGGCTGTTTAAGACTATAATAACTAGTTTAAATGCAGCTTCCTGAAAAGGGAATCAGTGATGATTGAAATTAACCTTGAAATAGACGTAGTTTTCAGGCATTAATTTAAAAACAATCTAAATGAACTAGTCAATAGTTTACTCATTATATTACACACATAATTCAAATGCCCTATCTTATAACACAACTTGATAATGAGTTTAATCATATTGTTCACCAATCAACAGTGTTAATGGTATGCCAACCTTCTCAACAGTGTCTCAGAGAGTTAAACCAGGCAGTAGCAACCTAGCGGTGATAAGCTACCTGGCTGTGGATACCCAACGGTGACAACGAAGCAGCACCTCTCTGATTGGGCTTGTTGTTCGGGTGAATTCCATACAAACTGGCTGGCTGTTGAGAGGGGAGGTGATGTTTAGAAAGTTATATCAGAAAATATTTTATATAAAATATCTAGCTGTTTACTTGTTACATAATATACACTATCCTTTAACTTCCCTATCCTTAATAACATCTTATGTCAACTAAATACTGTGCAAAACAAATATGGTCTTAAGTGGCCAGTGTCATGGCTTTTATTGGTTATTTCAGGCAAAATGTAACACTTCCTCAAAGAGCCAGAGTGTACTGGTTTATAAAAACTTCTCAGTACAGTAACATCTGAGGGTATAAAGGGGTAGCTGCCTATAACTGCAGGTTGTTATTTGGGAGGTTTTGGGGTCTTATCCTGAATTAATAACATGAAAGAGGGAGATCTGCAGGGAACTGTGTTTGCAGGTTCATGGTAGTCAATTACTGAGTGAATATCTCCGCCAGAAAACCTCAAGCAGAGTTTGGCGCTTTAATGTGTTTCAAATATGCCACTTTAGTGTGAGAGGTTAAACTTTATTCCTATGTCCAGGGGTTAGCATATCGTAGCCTTCATACAGATTTTCCTGGGTTTTGGATTTAATATTAGGCCTGGAGTCGTCTTGCGTGGAAGAACCTTTTGATCTGCACTCTAAAATCCAACCATGAAGGAAAGAAGCCAAAAGCTCTGCAAATACAATATAAAATTAAGAAGTGATGCCATCCACACCAGGGGATTTATTAAGTTTAAGGTGTTGAATAGCTGACAGAACCTCTAAACCTACCAGTCTGTCACAGAAGACTATTTGTTCATTTGGAATTAATGTGCCAGGGAGAGCATGAAGAAATTGTGTGCAAGATTTTTATTGTAACTGGACTGATAAAATTTAATATAAAATTCTGAGCAATATTCAGCTATACACTGAACAACTTCAGTAACCATTCCACTAGTATTTAACTCTTGTACTGGCAGAGTTCTGCTCACCTTTCTCGAGCCATTTCATTCTTGTTCTCACAAAGGCTTCTTCTGCTTTTCTTCAATATATGTCATCTACTTTATCTTGTTTAGTGATTAATTCTAATTTGTCCATTTTTTGTCAAATTTTCAGGTAGGATTCGAGTAAGAGTTGCAATTCTGCCAATAACTTTTTTCTTCAGTTCTTCTACATTTACTTCTGTACTTGCTTTAATATTGTCTAACTTCATATTTAATGGATCCCAGCTTTTGTCAAATAGAGAGCCAATCCTGGCCAGCAATCGGGCGAAGGCGGGGTACACCCTGGACAGGTCGCCAATCCATCGCAGGGCTAACAAATAGACACACACGCACTCCTATGGGCAATTTAGAGACACCACTCAACCTAATAGACCAACCTAACCTAAGGTTGGTCTATTAGTGTTTGGATATATTTGATCACTGCCTCTTGTTTTAGAGTAAAATTGTTAAGTTTCCAATAACAACCGCTATGCTTTGGAATAGAATTAACCCTGAAAGAAATATTTATTCGCTATTGCACTTAGATTAGACAATGGGGTTATAAGAATATCAACATTAATGCTATTGTTTCCCAAACATTTAGAGATCAGCCAGAAATCTATTCCAGACATCCTGGTTACAGGTTTTATTACTCCATGTATACTCTGAGTCATGGTGCGTTAAAAGGCATGTGTCAACTAATTCAAATTTATCCATACAAAGTAATAAACTGGAGGCAGAAGTATTATCTGAGCATGCAGGCCATCTGTCTAACAGACCATCTAAAGCTATATTGATGTCACCTCCCGATAAAATCGGTACATTTGGAGATCTGGATAGCCAGTTTAAGATGCAATTTTCTAATTAAAAGAAAAAAAAAGCTTTGTATTCAGTGTTGTAGTACTTGAGTCCAGGACTCAGACTCAAATCCAACTCAATTCACCGATCTCCATCAAAAACATCCATTTTGTGTAACTGCATCCAAGGAAACTGGTCATTCAAATTATGCATTTTAATATGATGTTTTATTTATGTGAATTCTTGAGCACATTCAGTAAATGGCTTTGTAATTTACAAAATAATACTAATTTTAATCTAACCCGTTGCAGTATAGTCCATGGCCCAACTGGTGCCCTGAGGCCCATCAGTGTGCCAGGGACCCCTGGCCGAAAAGCCTGCTTAAGAGGAGTCATCGAGTCGGTTCTCTGCTCATCCATCACTGTCTGGTTTGGCTCAGCAACCAAACAGGACAGGAACAGACTCCAGTGAACAGTCAAGTCTGCAGAAAGAACCATCAGTGCCAGCCTGTCTTCCATGGAGGACCTGTATACCTCACAGGTCAAAAGGAGGGTGGAGAGGATTTTTGCAGACCCCTCACACTCTGGATACAATCTGTTTGAACTCCTCCCCACGAGACAGCGTTACAGGTCACTGTACGCCAAGACAACCAGGCACAAGGACAGTTTCTTCCCCCAGGCTGTCAGTCTGATGAACACTTGACCAGTGACTGTATGACTGAACACAGCAGTTACCACAGTGCAATAAACTGTAAATATACATTGTATACATTAGTCTGAATGCCCTTCTGCCATGATACTTATATTTATAAATCCAGTCTTTATACCCCTCACATTTCCTACTTGAATGCAGTTTCTTATTTTATGCCCTTTATCTTTATTCTCATTATTTTCCATTCCTGTTGCTTTACAGCACACTGAGAGCCTCTCTAAAAAATTCCTGTATGTCCAAATATACTTTGCCATTAAAAACGATCCTGCTTCTCAATACTTTTTGACTCTACTGTATGTGAAAATGGTAAGTTTCAAACTCATTGGCTACTCAAGTGATAAAGTTGAGCTGTTATTACACTGAAGCATTACAGTATGCACGTTTGTATGCAAAGTTGGTAGACAAAAGGTTAACTTTATTATTATTTTTACAATACTCATAGCCTGGTCTGGAATTTTTGTAATTTTATGGTTAGTGTGTTTTATGTTGCTATAATTCAAGAAACACAAAGCATTTATGATAGAGTACGAGATTATAACAAACCCATCATGTGACATCCCCTCAATATATTATTTCACTCTCTTCATGCTGTGTGGAAAATTAACAAAATGCAAATATACACAGTGGGTAAAATAAGTACTGAACACGTCACCATTTTTCTCAGTAAATATATTTCTAAAGGTGCTGCTGACATAAAATTTTCAGCAGATGTCATTAACAACCCATGTAAATCCATACATACAAAGAAAACATAAGTTCAGAAATTAAGTTATGCGTAATAAAATGGAATGACACAGGGAAAAAGTATTGAACACATGAAGAAAGGAAGGAGCAAAAAGGCCTGGAAAGCCAAGACACCAGCTGAAATCTATCAGTAATTAGAAACGAATCCTGCCCCTTGTCAGCAGAAATTAATATCAGTTGGCTCAGTCCCAACTTATGGCCTAAAACAAGGTGTCTCATTACCAAGGTGTCCCACAAGAAAGAGAAAAATGGTGACATGTTCAATACTTATTTTAGCCACTGTATACTTCATTTTAGTGAATAACCAGCATTGGTATTTAATCAGCTTTCTTTATTTGATTTACAAGTGGGTTTACACAGATTCAAAAAGGGAGATAAAATGGTAAATACCGCATTCAACAAATCAGTAATAGCTAAGAAAGAGAGATCAGCAGACACTGTCAGATGGTGCAGTAAATAATTCCAAAATCTTACACGCAAACCTATAAACCATTATGTACTCGGTCTGGTAAATTTTCAACTAGCATACAACCCTAAGACATTGCTGTAGCCCTCAGCAACAGATTAATCTGAATGAACAGTGTCACCAAGTAACAGGATTTCATTGAGCAACATAATTTTGAAAAGTCAAACTGTAGTTGGTGCAAGCCATAAGGAATAAAGGAACACTGGTACAAGGTACAAGCATGATAAAAGCACACTAAAGGATGCAAACACATGCTGCAGTTCTGAATGCATAAAGCCACTGGTGAGAAGTCTACAAATAAACTTCTACCTAAAGTATGCAGTTCATAGAGAGGTGGATAAGTTATTAAAAGGACTGCCAAAGCGTGCGAAGATTGGGTCTTCTGAAAAATTCTTTTAGGCTCACACACAGATTTGCAAGGCTATTTGTAATTTCTTGGAGCCAAGCTGGGATGGAAGAAGAATTGCCTGTGCTTCCATTTAGTATTCAGTTTGGTTGGCCCCAACATGCTTAAAACATAGCAGAAAAGCCATCCTAAAGAACAGTAGAGTTATAGATTTTTTGGGGTTTAGAAACTAGCTTGCATACAACACCAGTACTATATTCCTGTAGCTTTTATACACTTTGCTAATAAATTCACTTCTTGGTATTACTCACACTCATGACTTGTATGTGTACTATAAACAATGAAATGATGCAGATTAAAGACAAATTGGTCATGTATTAATTCATAAAGGAATGGCACCTAAGACTTGCCACAAGTGCATATTGAAGCCAAGTACAGTGTTGCTGACACAAGTTCTCCATCCTGTTGCAGAAAACAGCTCTGCTAGTGAGGGACAGTGAAGATGAAATGATGCAGAAAAATACACAATAATTAAAAAAGTTATTTTAGTTTTACTTGACATTTTTATTTCTCACCTAAAGGATGGGATTTTTTTTTTGTTCTTGTATGTGCAGTTTTATATTCATAATATAGTGAAACACTTATGGGTGCACTTCACATTCTTCCAACCTGCAATAGTTTTAAAGGACCAGGCCCTCATAGGCAGGGCCCTCAGACTCTGGGGATTCTCTCTGCAGGCGAAGATGCTCCAGTGTGTTGTGGAAGTGTTTGTTGATTTGCTCTGTTTCTTCACTTGCCTCCAGGTTAGGAAGATCTTCCCTGATCTTTTGAATCAGCTGATTTAGTACCTGGACAGTCACCTGGACAAGTGGAGAAAAAAGGGACACTATAAGAGTTCTTGTTTACATTATGATAATTCCCTTGAATGGGCATAAAAACCAGACAGTTGAGTGTTCCTGTGAGCTTGCCTGACATCCACTGGTGCCCCCATCATACTGGCAAAATGTTATAGCCCTGCTTGTTATATTTTCAATAAAGCACTTTAAAAAAGAAACAAAAAATAAACATCCACTGGTGCCATTGTGAAAGTGGAATGCGCCCCGTTTTGTGGATATGTATATGTTTCACCTCCTGCTGCTGCACTGTGACCAGAGGATGTGGAGACAAATACAGGGCCTGAGGTTACTGCATGTCTGGGAATGTTCCTGTACCGGGGACTCACTGTTTTACCTGACTGGGTCTAATCTACAAACAGATGGCCAGAGAAGTTCCCTGGGGCAGTGAATGATCAGCTCAACACTGGATTCCCCCGGAGCTCAGTACCTATTTGTTCTGACTGCTTGAGGCCAGCATGTCTGCTGCATGTGATGTGTTGCTGGTTAACGAGCCATGATGTTATTGTCGGTGCTACACTACCTGTTGGAATTAATTTCACTACTTTGGGAAATGTGGTCGTGTGGGGAAAGACGCAGTGACCACCGGTTGGATTTACCCACCTTGGAGCTACTTGAAAGGGGGTGGTGTTTCCACTACCTGGTGGGACTTAACTAAGTTTAAAAAAACACATTGCATCTCTGTTAATGCCTTGTTTCTGTAATGTTAGAGAGAAATGTTGTAAGGCTGGAGAAGTTACTATGTCTGCATTATGCCAGTTAAAATATGGGGTTTCTCAATTACCTGCTTTGTGTTACACATCTCTTTTCATTGGTACATATACCGTTGTTTACCTATATATGGAGGAGACATTCACATTAATTAATGCCTTCGCCGTTCAGTGTGCTGTCCACTTATGACAACACTGTCGGCAGGAGTTGTGCACGTTCACCAACTGTCCTCTCATTTTTAGGAAGAGGGTTAGATGGCTGGAAACGAGCAAAATGAGCAGCCATGGGGACTTTAAGGATTGCATTCACATAGAAGCAACTGTGTATGAAGGTTAAAAACAATTAAGTACTTCAGTGCCCTTACCCATTTGAGACTATTAAATTACCAAATCTGAATTACACCTAGCTGTAAAAGTGGGTGCCTGTTTTGCCTGTATACAATGACACACATGCATGCACACAAGCACACACTTACATTTTTTTCTGCTGTCATGCTATTCCACTAAGTGATAGCTGGTGGCAGTTTTGGTGTGCAAGAACATGTAGCAATGTGCCAATACAGGCTACGAAGGCGATCACAAGCTGGCAAACATATGTATAGAACACATGATTTAAAATATTTTAAAATGGCTTTGCAACTCTTTTATGAGGGTGGAAATGCATTCAACACTTTCAAGAATACACAATGTGTTTTGGTGAGTAACAAACAACCAAATATAAATAAAACGTTGTTTACAAGTAAATTCCAAGGGGTACTTGTAATGTCAGTTTCAGCTTTGTTAGTTCAGTTTCAGTATAACCACTGATTTAATCAATAAAATGATGCGTCTCTACATGTAATGATCAGACACAGCAATACTTTTCCCATTTCATGTACAGTATACCACAGAAGTGAGTACACCCCCTCACATTTTGTAAATATTTAAGTATATCTTTTCATGTGACAACACTGACGAAATGACACTTGGCTACAATGTAAAGTAGTGAGTCTACAGCTTGTATAACAGTGTAAATGTGCTGTCCCCTCAAAATAACCCAACACCCAGCCATTAATGTCTAAAGTGCTGGCAACAAAAGTGAGTACACCCCTAAGTGATAATGGCCAAATGGGGCCCAAAGTGTCAATATTTTGTGTGGCCACCATTATTTTCCAACACTGCCTTAACCCTCTTGGGCATAGAGTTCACCAGAGCTTCACAGGTTGCCACTGGAATCCTCTTCCACTCCTCCATGATGACGTCACGGAGCTGGTGGATGTTAGAGACCTTGCGCACCTCCACCTTCCGTTTCAGGATGCCCCACAGATGCTCAATAGGGTTTAGGTCTGGAGACATGCTTGGCCAGTCCATCACCTTTACCCTTAGCTTCTTTAACAAGGCAGTGGTCATTTTGGAGGTGTGTTTGGGGTCGTTATCGTGTTGGAATACTGCCCTGCGACCCAGTCTCCAAAGGGAAGGAATCATGCTCTGCTTCAGTATGTCACAGTACATGTTGGCATTCATGGTTCCCTCAATGAACTGTAGCTCCCCAGTGCCGGCAGCACTCATGCAGCCCCAGACCATGACATTCCCACCACCATACTTGACTGTAGGCAAGACACACTTGTCTTTGTACTCTTCACCTGGTTGCCGCCACACACACTTGACACCATCTGAACCAAATAAGTTTATCTTGGTCTCATCGGACCACAGGACATGGTTCCAGAAATCCATATCCTTAGTCTGCTTGTCTGCAGCAAACCGTTTGCGAGCTTTCTTGTGCATCATCTTTAGAAGAGGCTTCCTTCTGGGACGACAACCTTGCAGACCAATTTGATGCAGCGTGCGGCGTATGGTCTGAGCACTGACAGGCTGACCCCCCACCCCTTCAACCTCTGCAGCAATGCTGGCAGCACTCATACGCCTATTTCCCAAAGCCATCCTCTGGATATGACGCTTAGCACAGGCACACAACTTTCTTGGTCGACCACAGCGAGGCCTGTTCTGAGTGGAACCTGTCCTGTTAAACCGCTGTATGGTCTTGGCCACCGTGCTGCAGCTCAGTTTCAGGGTCTTGGCAATCTTCTTATAGCCTAGGCCATCTTTATGTAGAGCAACAATTCGTTTTTTCAGATCCTCAGAGAGTTCATTGCCATGAGGTGCCATGTTGAACGTCCAGCGACTAGTATGAGAGAGTGAGAGTGATAACACTAAATTTAACACACCTGCTCCTCCGTCACACCTGAAACCTTGTACCACTAACGAGTCACATGACACCAGGGAGGGAAAACGGCTACTTGGGCCCCATTTGGCCATTATCACTTAGGGGTGTACTCACTTTTGTTGCCAGCAGTTTAGACATTAATGGCTGTGTGTTGCGTTATTTTGAGGGGACAGCACATTTACACTGTTATACAAGCTGTAGACTCACTACTTTACATTGTAGCCAAGTGTCATTTCGTCAGTGTTGTCACATGAAAAGATATACTTAAATATTTACAAAATGTGAGGGGGTGTACTCACTTCTGTGGTATACTGTATTTGTCCTGCACATGATCACCTGTAAAAGGCCAATAAAAAACCCAAGTTATGTGTACACAGGCCAAGGTATCAGTTCTCTACAGGAGAAATCTGTGGACAACAGGTTTTTCCTACAATGATTACACGTTTCTCTTGAATGTGACGTTTAAGAATAAAGATCATTGCAGATGACAGTAGCCTGGTTACATAAGATCATACACACAAACTGACAACTGAGGATTGTGTCCTACCGCATCATTTTCTCTCTCATAAAAACAGACATATCTGTTGAGGATTTCAATGAAAAGCTGGACTTGCAGCGATGGGTCCATGCACTGGTTGGCAATCTTCAGGGCTTTCTTTAGGCACTCCATCACCCTCTTGCCATCACGGATCTAAAGATGCAACATCAACAGTTAGCAATGATGGAAACAAATTTAAAGACAGTATATTGTAAGCACAGGTAGGTGTTGTTAAATGTAAATAACTAAATGTTTCCTTTGCTACCAACTAGGGGGGCTAGTAGCCTTGGGGGTTGCCTGGTTCAACTTCTCCCTCCCATTTCCTGTCACTGCTCTATCTCCTATCTAAAGAAGGCCAAAATGCCCAAAAATACATGACAAAAAAAAACCCCAAAACAAACAAATGTAGCTGAATTTGGCACGTTCACACTGGCTAAATGGATCTAATGACCAGTGCCACAGTGGGTTTCAGTGTGCTTAAGATGAAATGACTTGATGATGTGAAATACTATTGTGATTTGGTGCTATACAAATAAAACTGAGTTAAACGGCATTGAATTAAGATGGCTAACTGAACTGAAATTTTTATAAAGTCATTCGTTATCTCTGTGTTTACTCCTTGATTGTGGAAAACTGCAAGTCACATCTGCTCCCATGACGGCTACCATTAAATCATCACACCTTATAGTGAGTATGTTGTTGGCATGTAGTCGTGGCACAGCAGTTAGTTCTGTGATGAGAATATCTTTCGGAATATACACTGCCTCTATGTGGAATAAAGATTGACCTATATGCTGCAGGATATTACTCATTGGCATAAGCTAATCACAAATATATCTGTATCTGCATACATCTCCAACACACCTCTTCACCATTTTTGTCAGTGCTGCGACCTGACCAAAAAAGATGGGCACAAATACTGACAGCTCTGCACTGGTCAGGCTTCTTTAACAGCTTGGAGGCAGCAAGCGCGCACTGAGTCCTCAACGGCTCGTGGTTTTCCTCGCTGAAACAACGCATTCGCTCGAAGGTACCAATGATCAGAGTGATGGCTGCCAGCTGGGCTTTGGAGTCACTGATCTCATCCTCATACAGAGAGAAGGCCTGATGAGGGGGATGTATTGAGCAGCACGAGAAGAAGTGGGAAAGGTGGGGTTGGTGGAAAAGGAGGGAGAAAATAATACAAGTTAGACAAAGGATCTAAAAATGAGAGAGCCAGTGGTCTGGTCATTTACTACTTTTATATGAAGTAACATCACAAATTGACTTTGGTGAAAAATCCCCCACAAACTGTTCAATTAAAAGGACTGAAATTAAGGGTTAGCAAATATCCTTGAACACTTTGCACCATACTGCTTTTTCACTCATGTTTAAATGTCTCTCCTTCACCGATTTTCAGTAGATAAGAACTTTCAAGTAGACTGTTGTGTCACAATATTTTACATTTGCACAGTAAATAAAAAACAATGTGAGCTAATCCAAGTTGGAGACTGACAGAAGTAGTTCAGAGTTGGTTTTAGTTTCTATGGATGCTGTTCAAAAGGCTATATTATTGTATGTCCTTTAAGACTTAATTACACCTGAAACATGTTCTTGTTAATGTTAATTATTGTTGGCATATTTTTATTTTATTTGAAAGTAAAATGGTTTAATAATCTAGGAAATGTATTATGATGTGAGGCTTCGAAGGGCTACTTTTTATTTTTATACGAGTACATTTCAGAGCCTGAACTTTTTTACTTTTACTGAAGAGTTTGAATCAGTACTTCTACTTTTACCAAGGTATTTTTACACAGGTATATGTACTTCTGCTTGAGTAATGAATGTGTGTACTTTTGCCACCTCTGGATAAATGGCTGTGCGTGACACTTTAAGGAAGATGGCCAAACAAACTGGATGCACATGTGCAAAACCAAACACTTTGTTGCCACCGTACTTTGTCTTGTAAAAGTAGAACGATGTTTGAAAACGCGTCTAATAAAGTACAAATTTCACCATTATGTGGCTTGTCCTAGTGGATTTTGTTGTCCTTTTTCCTCCTCGTTCTGGGCAGCAATTTGCTAAATAGTGTCATCGGAGGTGAGTTTCTCAGTTGTAAGCAAATTGCTACCACACCAAAATGAGGAGAAGACAATGACAAAACAAACTGGGGGGCCAGGACTGCCGTCTATTGTAATACAGTAATGAGGGAGCAACATTGAAACACCTGGTGGCAGAAAAGAGAACTGCATAGTGGATCTTCTGAGGCTGGTGGAAGCTATAAAATGTTGCACTGCTCAGTGCCACCCTGCGAGTGCGCTGATAGCACACAGTGGTATGACACTTTTACGGATCAACACTGTACATAAATCTGAGTCCAGCAGGAACAAATTCATAATTACAGGGCAGGTGGCCAGAGGGTTTAATATTTTAACTCTGGTCAGTTTCACACCTATACTTTAGTTACTGTAATTTGGTCTGGACCAAAGATGAGCAGCTTTTGCTACACAGACAGCGTAAGGCTAAATGCTCAAGAGATTCAAAAGACATTCTACCTGTGACATGAACTCGTATGCTACAGTCTCATGGTTCTCAAAGCCAATCTCGCCTGCAGCCAGTGCCCCCTGCAGGAAAAGTCGAAGGGGTAGCTCTGCAAGCTCAGCCTTGATTAGCGCGCCGATAGTCTGATGTGCGAAGGAAAATATCTTCTGACACTTCTTTTCCCACTTGTCATCCTGATGGGAGACAAATTTGGCATAATAATAGGATAAACAAAATTACATATACAACATGTCAGATGTAATGAAAAGGGATATTTGCATACCAAAGAAGAGCTTTCCTTGTATCTGAAGGCAAGCTGGTATGCAGCGAAAACCAGAGGGGGAAGTGTGTAGCGAATCCTTTGGTTTCCGCCCGCACCAAAATGTTTCCGGGCGGTGTTCAGAATCTGACCACAAATCAGAATATTAACTTTAATGAGCAACACAAACAACAGCAAAGACACTGTGGCTCAATCACAAAGTCACATGCCGGGATGGGAAAGATTCACAACTACTAAAAGGTGACAGTTTGAAATATGTCAACATTTTCCAAAGCATGAGGTAGAATTTCAGTTTTTACATACTGCATATTTTCATCCTTTTGAGGCAGCCATTGATTTCCATTCATTTCTGTACAGTATATAAATCAATAAACAACATCCAATCCATCACAGTACTAGAGATCCATCCACTGCAATTTTCTTGGCCAATTCCGATTTCTGTTTTCTTTTCAGGTCTGACCTGCTGATTCAATATTCTTTCTTTCTAAGAACTGTAATTGGCAGTATACAGAGAGATTTAACTTTTCTTTAATGAAAAACTAAGTTGTAATAAAAAACATTGTATTGAAGTTTTACATTTCTATCCTCTTATCTTTCTTTTTTCTTACAAACCTCCAACTAAAAGTGAAGTGCACTATTTGTACTCCAAAACAGGTTAAACAGAAACAGAAGAATATCTGTTGCATCAGTCCTGCTGAGCACACAGTTCTGCGCATTTACTGTGTTCTACCATGGCTTGGATACACTGTGTATATACATACACTGAATGTGTAGCCAGTAATTCCCTCATTGTGTAGTATTTGTCAGTGATTTAGATGTGGTTTCCCTTCTTTAAGGTGTTTTTTTAGCCTCCTCTGTGTGGCTTGGTTCACCAAGCACTTCCAGTGCATGAGTGAACATGCGCCCGGTACAGACAGATGAGCGAGCCTCATTCTAGGTGCACGCAAGATGCTATGTGCTGCACCATGCTATGCTTTTTGTCTGTGCCACTCTGCGAGTGACCTGGACTGTTGTGTCTTTAAATATGATCGACGTAGAATTGGAAATCTCAGAGTGATCGGCTGGTCACCGGTCAAGGCCAATCATAGTGTCCGTTGATTGATTGGTGCACCTCCGCACTGTACACATCAAGTCTGAAGTGACCAGAGTAGGGAAAACACTATAATACATCCTGATGTCCAAAACAGTCAGCTCTAATATGGTACAGCCTTAACAGAATACAATGTAGTAAAGTACTAGTACTTCTAGTACATGAGCTAAATCTACAAATCACTGGCATGCTCTTAATGTTAATGAAAGGACCCACAAGGTACTGCTGATCAGGATCTTCAGAGTGGAGCAGATGGATGAAACGACCCACAAGGCTCTGCTCCTCAGAAAAGTCCTCAGGGTCAGGGTCATCAGCTGGTTGGTCTGGCTGGTCTTGAATCAGTGTGGATACCAAGTTCAAGATGGCGTCCACCTAGAGAACAAGACAAGAAGTGAAGAATTATGAGTTACTTCCCCCCCCCCGTGCATTTTGGCTGAGAGGGTGAACCGTTCTGATGAGGTCATGGGTCAGATACAGGTCAAGTACCTTGCTCAAGTAAGAAAAATTATAAAGAAAATGCTACACTCAGGAATTAACTGAGGCCTTCCTTTTGTCAAATAACCTAGGTAAACACTAGGTAATCCTGCCCTACTACTGTACATCTGATGCTTGCCAGCCGTGCCACTCGTGCAATAAAATGATAACCGAAGACTTTCAGTTGGTCTGGTTCATTGATCTAGTGCTGCACAGACCAGCTCCCACCAGCATCAGTTGTTCTTATGTTTAGTGTTAATTCTAATTTAAGAGTTTACTAAGTGGAGATTCAGGGATTACTGTATCACAGTGGCTTGAAATGCACACAATAGTTAATAATATTTACTAGCAACTTATCTCTAACACCAACTAGTTGCCAGATGTTGACTGAACAAACTCAAAACTATGTTGGTAGTATCTGACTTGTTAAGAGTATAAACGCAATATACAATATCGTTGACATACGGTATTTGACCTGTTCATAATGGTGTAAACTGTTGTAGTTTTAGAGTGGAGCCTCCCCTGCAACTATTGAAAGGTTATGAATCCCTGGGTTGCAGACCATTAACTTAGTGAACGTACTGAATTTTTCATCACCAGCCTTCGGCTGTCCATGAAATCTGTGTGAGGACACTACATGAGTGTTACAGAGTGTCAGTCATGCTTTTTTGGTTCAGTAAATAATCACAATGTTAAAACCAAGCAAACAGAGCAGTGCCTTCCTACCTGCCTAACCATTATTTATATGAACCCACATAAATTTAAGCATTTTGTGGGAAAGTTGTTTACCTTTAAAGTTTGTACTTTTTTGAGGTTCTCCATCCTTTGTGTTTTAACTTACATTAACATTTTAACACTTGACAACTATACCGTCCAACTGGTTTGTCTAGCCACATAATTTTTAATCAAAAACAATATCAATGAGCAGTTAAAGATGCCTGCTTCTAATAAAGCTAATAATAGCCATAACCCAAGATCAAGTTCAAGGTGATCAACTTGATTCGTAGCCCCGCCCATGCTAGGAACTGATTGGATGCATGGATGTGTCAAATTTGTTTTACAGCTCAATCAAGTAGTGTTGTGCCTGTTGTGAAGGAGTCGGCTCTTTTACGTGAAGGATGAGAGCCGTCCCACACCGGTCGGCTAAAGACACTGTACTGACTGGACCTTGCCATGATAGTGTGCCTGTGACTAAGCAGGTGTGATGGCAGACATGGCTCATATCATCAGGTTAAAAAGGGGGAGGGGTGGGCTGACTGTCTACAAAACAAATGAGAGGAACAGCTGAAGATGAGTGACACTTGTAAATGAAGTAGGATTTGGATGCATTTTAATAAACACAAAGGCAGAAAGTAGAATTTGTAAAATAAAATCATATTGAGCAGGATGACAATCTTGCCATATTAGAACTGCGCATTCAACATAGTACAGATACATTGTACAGATTATACAGATCCGTAAAGGTCTCTATTTTTACGTACTCTATGTTTTTATTCCTATTTATCTCATTTCACAACAGGCATTGCTTTGCCTGTCTGCATTGTTTACTGCCTGTTTATACTGCTTATTTTACATTGTTTGCACTGTTTATTGCTTGTTAAATAAATCATTCTAGAGATCTTTATTTGGCCCTCCTAAAGAGAAATATCTACTTCAGGATAAGGATGGAAGCCTAATAACTTGCATTAAGCTGTCAGCTAAAAAGTGGTTTGTTATTAAACCTTGCTGTCCTCAACTCTGGAATACTGTACCACATGACCGAGCCATGCTCTGAACTTTGGTATACTCTCAAGTATACCTAACTAAAGCAGTAAATTCCCTTTTAGTAATCACATCAACCAAAACAGCCTGTACATTCACAGCTGGTACATGTTAGGGTGAATTTTATTTTTACGCATACTGTATATGAATAGGATTAGTTAAGTCTTTTATTATATAGCACACATAAGTCTACATACTTTTATTTCACAGTTATGTTTACGTAGTTACACATCACCCTATGTGTTCACTGAATCGCTGGTCAGTATTTACTGTTAGTCACTGGACCACTGTTTAACATCAAAGGGACTTGTTCACTAAATCATTGAATCTCATTAGATTTACAGCTTTGGCAAAGAGGGTCCACAGTTACTTTATCACCACCACCTGGCTGATGAAGCCAGGGGAAATAGGGTTCACTAGGACTCCTTGGTTAGTAAACAGAGATTAGATCTGGAGCCAGGAAGAGGAGAAAACTTCAAATGCACACACACAGTCAGAGTAGTTTTAATCGGTGAACCGGAAAGCAATGCCTAATACGAAGCAGTTAGTTAGAAACAAAGGAAGAAGTGAGTGTCTATGCAGAAATTAAGGCAGTATAAGTATTTCTCCCCTTCCTAGGGCGCTGTCCTCTACGATTGGAGCAGATAGGACGTAGGAGGATGGACGGACCGAAGGACCAATAACAGGAGAGTTAAGTCTAAACCACGGCTCCTCCCCAACAGTTTTTGACCAATTAGATAGTAGCACCTTTTGATACAAATATTGTATACCCATAAGTTGAGAGTAGTCTTTCCTGTTTTTCCTAAACAGTGAAGATCCATGTGCACATGCTTATTTTGATACGTTTATGCATAATAAATTTCACACAGTGAAATATACTTTTATTAGTCTTCTATAAAAGAACACGCCTCACATACAGAATGCAGCTGCACAGTGTCTAGCCATGGTTGAGGAACAAAGAGCATCACTTTTTTGTTAGCCTTCCACTGGCCCCGAGTGATTTTCAGAACCGATTTTAAAATGTTATGGATTTTCTTCTTATGAGAAGACACTTTTATTGTTAACATATAAAACGCTTCAAGGCCTTGCTCCACTTCAAATCAGTAACCTCTTGACTCCATACATATTCATCCAAGATGGCGCTCCTCGATAGGTTCACTCAGTCAGGTTGTTTCTCTTTTTTGCTTATTTGTGCCATGCTAAAGCAACAGTAAAGGCCGCAAACTTTATTTATGACCGGGCGACTTTGTTACTGCTAAGAGAGCACAGTCTTCTTGGAGATTTTGACCTAAGGATGTTGAACTCTCACCCAGATCTAATATGCTATGTCAACACAACGCCAGGCCAACCCCCGGCAGGGAGCTCTTCTGATAACAGACCGAAGCGAAGACGAGGCAGACGGGGAGGGAGAATCGAATGGAGGCTCCGGCGCTTGGTTAGCAGCGGCAGGCTAGCCCTCCCCGTTATACTGTTCACAAATGTCCAGTCTCTGGATAATAAACTGGATGAACTCCACGCTCGGATTACCTCGCAGAAGGACATACAGGACTGCTCCCTGCTGTGTTTCTGTGAAACATGACTGGGAAAAAAGAGACTCCCGATGAGGTCTGGATGGTTACTCTGTATTCAGACAGGATTGCAGCAAGACCCGCGGAGGAGGAATGGCCACCTTGGCAAACAGCCCTGGTGCACAGACTGAAGATGTAGAATATTCAACACTAAAGCTAAGGCCATTTAGAGACAGCAATATGAAAAGCAGCGCTGTGCATGGTGCGCAGTAATGATTTTGTTTGGTGATGACTGAGTTTGATGTGTTCAAAAATTATTTGACTTGAGTGCACAAATAGGCCTTGCTTAAAAGGTGTTTACATTTACTGTTGAAAGCCATTGTTATGGCTGAGTGGAACATACATTAGACTACATCAACAGTGATGATCAAGGTAATTTGTGGGGCCGGGGCTGTTTTCATGATCTTCTCTGAGGGGAGGATCACCTTCCCACAACATAGTTGCTAATTTGAAGTAGGTGCATGACAGCAGGATTAGGAGTGAAGTTATAAACAGGACACATATGATGATCTACACAGAGGTGATGTTCTTGAAGGTGACTGTTTTTGAGATATCCTGAGTAATCCCATGCTGCTGATTTTAATTTCTTTTTTGGTTGATGGAGACTGGCATTCAACAATTAATGGAAACATCTTTTAAGAAAGGTCTATTTGTGCAGTTTTACTTGTGCAAATTGATGCTAGAGACCTACCATTAAATCGCTATACTGTTGCAACCCTATGACAACCAGAATAGTACAAAATGTTAGATGCTTCTTATTAAAGGCAGTACAACAGGTGAAGAGGCTAAATTAACTTTTGAACCAGGGGTGGCTTGAGCAGCAAACTGTTTTAGGATCAGGAGCTTCAGTTTGTGATTATACAGATGCTGCAAATTAAGATAGCAACATGCATTTGTAACATTCATTCAAGGTATTTACAGTGGGTACGGAAAGTATTCAGACCCCCTTAAATTTTTCACTCTTTGTTATATTGCAGCCATATGCTAAAATCATTTAAGTTCTTTTCCTCATTAATGTACACACAGCACCCCATATTGACAGAAAAACACAGAATTTTTGACATTTTTGCAGATTTATTAAAAAAGAAAAACTGAAATATCACATGGTCATAAGTATTCAGACCCTTTGCTGTGACACTCATATATTTAACTTAGGTGCTGTCCATTTCTTCTGATCATCCCTGAGATGGTTCTACACCTTCATTTGAGTCCAGCTGTGTTTGATTATACTGATTGGACGTGATTAGGAAAGCCACACACCTGTCTAAGACCCTACAGCTCACAGTGCATGTCAGAGCAAATGAGAATCATGAAGTCAAAGGAACTGCCTGAAGAGCTCACAGACAGAATTGTGGCAAGGCACAGATCTGGCAAAGGTTACAAAAAAATTTCTGCTGCACTTAAGGTTCCTAAGAGCACAGGGCCCTCCATAATCCTTTAATGGAAGACGTTTGGGACAACCAGAACCCTTCCTAGAGCTGGCCATCCGGCCAAACTGAGCTATCGGGGGAGAAGAGCCTTGGTGAGAAAGGTATAGAAGAACCCAAAGATGACTGTGGCTGAGCTCCAGAGATGCAGTCGGGAGATGGGAGAAAGTTGTAGAAAGTCAAAGAAAGTCAACCATCACTGCAGCCCTCCACCAGTCGGGGCTTTATGGAAGAGTGGCCCGACGGAAGCCTCTCCTCAGTGCAAGACACATGAAAGCCTGCATGGAGTTTGCTAAAAAAACACCTGAAGGACTCCAAGATGGTGAGAAATAAGATTCTCTGGTCTGATGAGACCAAGATAGAACTTTTTGGCCTTAATTCTAAGCGGTATGTGTGGAGAAAACCAGGCACTGCTCATCACCTGTCCAATACAGTCCCAACAGTGAAGCATGGTGGTGGCAGCATCATGCTATGGGGGTGTTTTTCAGCTGCAGGGACAGGACGACTGGTTGCAATCGAGGGAAGGATGAATGCGGCCAAGTACAGGGATATCCTGGACGAAAACCTTCTCCAGAGTGCTCAGGACCTCAGACTGGGCCAAAGGTTCACCTTCCAACAAGACAATGACCCTAAGCACACAGCTAAAATAACGAAGGAGTGGCTTCACAACAACTCCGTGACTGTTCTTGAATGGCCCAGCCAGAGCCCTGACTTAAACCCAATTGAGCATCTCTGGAGAGACCTGAAAATGGCTGTCCACCAACGTTTACCATCCAACCTGACAGAACTGGAGAGGATCTGCAAGGAGGAATGGCAGAGGATCCCCAAATGCAGGTGTGAAAAACTTGTTGCATCATTCCCAAAAAGACTCATGGCTGTATTAGCTCAAAAGGGTGCTTCTACTAAATACTGAGCAAAGGGTCTGAATACTTATGACCATGTGATATTTCAGTTTTTCTTTTTTAATAAATCTGCAAAAATGTCAAAAATTCTGTGTTTTTCTGTCAATATGGGGTGCTGTGTGTACATTAATGAGGAAAAAAATGAACTTAAATGATTTTAGCATATGGCTGCAATATAACAAAGAGTGAAAAATTTAAGGGGGTCTGAATACTTTCCGTACCCTACTGTAGTTTTTATTGAGTGATGAAAAATGTAAAACATTTCATAATAGTTCTCATTTTCAAAACTTCTTACCTTATTTACTTACTGTCATAAACCAATTGCCTTCATCATATTTTTTGTTGATTAAATTAACGCCATCCCTACCTTTAATCAAATATTCACTTGCCTTGTATTAACCACAGATTAGGCAATTTTTTGCTACTGTAGTGTGTGTAAATGTGAGCAGTGAGAATAATCAGGGTTTTGCATAAATGTCAATAATTGTGAACGTTTTGGCTAATAACAGTGTTGGTGCTATATTCAGTTACCTAAGCTAAAATGCCAAAACATAAATGTTGACATCCTTGTGCAAAAGTGGGAGATAGGAATCCAACCTGTTCTTGTGCCACAATGGTGGTGGTGTAGTCCAGAGTGTTGCTTAGCACGTAGCAACTCATGCTTTTGCGTGACTCGTAGTCGAAGTATTCGAAGAGAGGTGGGAAGTGCTTGAGCTGCAGCACAGTCAGGACATTGTTGTAGGTATCCACTGGGATCTTCAGCAGTCGAGTCAGTTCTTTTGACACTGCGCTGCTAGTTGCTATGCTGCATGAGGGGCAAAAACAGGTCAAGGTGTGACACAAAAAAGCAACAAGACAAGTATTTTATTCAAATGCAGATTACTATCCCTGGTCTATTCTGTCTGTGATCACATTTGTGAGAAAAAGATTTATGTAGATCGCCTGACAGCCGAGTGGTTATTGTGCATGCCACATATTCGCAATGCCCACAGTTAGAGTATGGCCACAGACTTGCATTGCATTTCTCCCAGTTTCTCTATGTCCCCGCTTTTCATTGTCTGTCTCTCTGCAATCCACTATAAAAATAAAGGAAAAACAAAAACACTTAAAAACAAAAAAGGCTTTATACAGCGTTACGTTACAAGATGCATGATAGTACCCAGGGTTTAACCCACCTGTTATGCTCATTTCTCAGGAACAGCAGTGATGTTCCTAGGTAAATTTTACCATTACTAACCATTTCAATCACTATTTAGTGCAATGGTGCTCTATCTCTCACAGATTATGGTTCAATGAGGATAATGCACTCCTTTTACATAAAAAATGCACATTAAAATTTATTTTTATGTACATTGAAAGACCTACATATAAAATACATTATTTCTATGACTTTTTTTTTTTACATTTAGACATTTTTTCTTTTTATGATGTTGATAAATTAACATGAGACACCTCTTCTGTTCAGGGTCAACAGTATCTTTGTAATATAAACATGCAGGGGGATGTTGCAAATATGTGAAATGAACCATTTTCATTTTATATGTTGATCACACCTATTAAGCCAAGCAGAAGAAGTTTCATACCAATAAAATATTTTTAACTATTGTTTTTAGATATTTTTTTTTACTTTGCAATGGGTCAATTTGACCCACAACATAACAGGCATCCATTGACATCTGATCTTGCTAACTCAAACAACTTTCACTCTCCCTCTTCTCTTTTTATCCTGTCTCCACTTCTGTTTTTAGGTTTACTCTGTGTGTGAGAGAACGTCATTTTTTGGCCTCGCACTCATTTACTCACCATTACCAAGTCAAATAGTTTTATTAAACAAAGAATGAATTTGTAATTTGCCTCTTTTCTAGTGTTGTGAAGAAAACTGAGGGTGCTTGTGTATTAAAATAACCACTAGCTCAAACCCTTCAGTCTGACATTCCTTAGGCCTGACAGCTTGAACTAATTACTGTAAAATGTCAATGAATCTACGTTGGATGCTATACTCACTTCCTCAAACCCACAAAGAAAATTTCATAATATTGCAGGCAACCCATAGCCCAAATGCACTGTATTCCTTAAATCCAGCGTTTCAGGAGTTTTAAGTCTTACTGTTCCAAATTGAGCTTGTTGAATATCTCCACAGTGCTTTCCAGGACCTTATCTACATAGTCAACTCGTTCAGGGTAGCATTTCATGGCCAAATTGATGAGAGAGACCTGAAGAGAGACCACGTCTTCTGATGGCATGTCCTGGCGAGACTGAAGGTGCAGAAAAAGAACAAAATCATCTGCATGGTCAGTCCAACATCTGTTTGAAAACTTACAGACAGCAACTACTGGACCCATGTAAATCAATGGTATATTCATTTATGACAGACACAGAAACTGTTACAAAATAGAAATCATCTGTGTCCTGTATCACATTGAAAACAATCCAGCAGCACATTATTTGATGCAATACCTCATCAATTTTATTCTTTGTTCAAAATAAACACTCACTTCAATCCTGATGCTGCAACACATTCCAAAGTTGGGACAATAAAGCGTTTACCATGGTATGATGTTTCCATTCCTTTTCACAACACCTAAAAGACGTTTAGGGACTGAGGACACCAAGAGATTTGGTGTGGCAGGTGTCATTTTGTCCCATTCTTCCTGAAAACAAATCTCAAGGTGCACAACAGTCCTGGGTTTTCATTGACGCTATTCGTGTTTCAAAATGCTCCACACATTCTCTACTGGGGACAGATGGGGACTGCAGGTAGGCCAGTCCAGCACTCACACCCTTTCCTCCACAGCCAGGCCTTGGTAATGTGTGCCTTGAAGTGTGTTTATTTTGAACAAAGAATAAAACTGATGAAGTATCACATCAGATAATGTGCTGCTAGATTGTTTTCAATGTAATACAGGACACAGATGATTTACACATCACTGTTTTCAGTTTTAATTTTGATTTTACATAGGAGAAAACAAATATGCCTACTAATAAAAGCCACCTGTCCTCCTCTTGTGAAATAACTCATTCCTGAATGTGGCTGTAAATTGTATTTTCAGTCTGTCCATACTAAGAAAATTGCCTTACAGACCAGGTCAACCTCATGTAACCTACTTGAATGACAGTGGCCACTTGCTGAGAGAAGATGTCAAACAGCTTGATCTCAGTTGGAATGCCAGGGCCATCTTCTCGATGAGCAAACAAAGCAAGCCTGTAAAATAAAACAAAAACTGTGATTCCCACTGTTAAGGTCACAAACAGGGATCACATAAGTAATATTGGCAATAATGGGCAAATTACATTTGAGAATTTCTTGAGAGAAATCCATTTCCTGTCAAAAATGTGTGTGGATGCTATGTGCTGAAGGATTGCCCTGAAAATGCTGAACATTTTGACACCTGAAAGGCATATATACCTAAAAGTATGCTGAAGTACAATTTTCCCATTAATTTGAATGGGGGGAAATTTTCAAAATAAAGCGAAATATTTAATAAGTGTGAAGTGTAGAAAAATTCTGAGTCGAAGCATGAATGTTGTGGGAGACTTGAACATTTTGAAACCTGAGGTACCTGAAAGTATGTTTAAGTAGAATTTCCCCATTCATTTGAAATGGGCAAACTTTTCAACATAAAGCTAAATATTTTAAAAGTGTGATGTTTTGAAAAATTGGTAATAGAAGCATGAATGTCCTTAAAGAGCTGAACATTTTGATACCCAAAAAAGGTGAAATTATGCTGAGTGTAGACTTTCCCCATTTAATTGAATCAGGGAAAATGTTCAAAATAAAGCTAAATATTTCAGAGGTATGAAGTTTAGAAAAATTCTGAATAAAAGCATGAATGTCCTTGAAGAGCTGAACATTTTGATACCCAAAATAGGTGAAAGTATGCTGAGGGGAGAATTTCCCCATTCATTTGAATGGGGCAAAACTTTCAAAATAAAGCTAAATATTTCTAAAGTATGAAGTTTAGAAAACTTCTGAATAACAGCATGAATGTCCTTGAGGAGCTGAATATTTTGATAGCTGAAAGTACACGGGAGTAGAATTTTCCCATTCAATTGAATGTAGCAAGATGTTCAAAATAAAGCTATATATTATGAAAGTATGAAGTTTAGAAAAAATCTTGAGAGGCATGAATGTCCTTGAAGAGCTGGATATTTTGATACCTGAAATTGCTGAAAGTATGCTGAGTGTAGTATTTCCCCATGCATTTGAATGTGGCACGATTTTCAAAATAAAGCTAAATATTATAAAAGTATGAAGTTTAGAAAAATTCTGAAGAGAAGCATGAATGTCCTTGAAGAGCTTAACATTTTGTTAGCTGACAATATGCTGAAAGTGTGCTGAAGTAGAATTTTCCTTTTCATTTGAATGGGGCAAGATTGTCAAAATAAAGCTAAATATTTCAAAAGTATGAAGTTTATGTGGGGGGGGGGGTAGATGTTTGTGTGTATATGTGTGTATGAGAAAGACAAGAGTAGTCCTACACATTGAGAAATACTAGTGTGACTACTGAAATGAGGCATAAAATGTAAATGGTAATTATGCAAAAATCATAAAAAAATATTTTTTAAAAAGCCGTTTACAGTATGAATAGCTGCAGAGTTGCAGAATAGTTATTAGTTGAAATGGTGGTTTTAGCTGAGGGTATGCTGAAGATATGATGATGTGAAAATTTGTCCCATTCATCTGAATGGGGCAAAATCTGCTGAAAAAAGCTAAATATGTTAAAAAGTATAAATGTTACAAACAATAAAAATACAAGCACATGTCAAAGAGTTGAACATTTTGATACCTTAAAGGGTTGTCTAGCTGAAAGCATGTGGGAGGAGATAATAACTAGAAAAATGCATTTCCTGTCAAAAATGCGTGTGGATGCTGTTATGCTGAAGTATGGCCCTGAAAAGGCTGATATACCTGCAATCAATTGCTGAAACAGCTCAAAGATGAGAAAAAATGGCTGAAGTAGTTTGAAACAGCTGAAGCATGAGATGCAGTGCTGAACAATTGTGGAAGTTGAAAAAACTTGAATAACTATGAAAGATGAAAGCAAAAAGATGAATAGTTACTGTATATAAGATGAAATTAAAAGCTGAAATTGTGTGTCAACAGGCCTCACAAAGTATGGAAAACACAAAGGCAGAGGACATTTTCAATGTTATTGATTTGTTTTTGGACTCTGTGGGACTGCATTGGTACAATTGTGTGGGGGTAACAACTGATGGTGCAGCTTCCATGACTGGAAAAAACTCAGGAGTTGTGAAGAAAATCCTGGACAGAGCGCTGAATGCGATGTGGACTCCCTGCTCTCTTCACCGAGAAGCACTCGTGGCTAAGGATATGGTGCCAGTGCTTGATACAGCACTGAAAGATGCCATAAAAATAATGAACTACGTTAAACGGAGTGCCAAGAACAGCCGCTGTTTCACACAGCAAAGACCTGGGATGAGAGACCTGGGATGAGAGCACATCCAGCTGTATCATTCAGAAGTTCACTGGTTTTCGAGGGGAAAGGTAATGTCATGCTTTTATGAGCTTAAACATGAAATCGCCGCCTTTCTCTCATACAATAACTGGAATTTCTGAGTGCCCCTGAATGCAACCATGATACTGGGATTTCCGAGTGTCCCTGAATGCAGCCATTTCACAGCTGAAGCGTATTAGTGTGAGTTGTCCGTCCGTGTTCTGTCTGCGATGTTTTTGGGTGAGTGCACTTAATTTTTTTAACGGTACACTCACTAATGTTTTCATATCTGGTAAGAACAGAATCTATGCACACTCAATAGGACACCTACACACACACACACACACACACACACACACACACATTCGAGTGCTTGTGTGAAATAACTGGTTATTGAGTTTTCTTCAATTCTATAGTTGTATAATATGCAATTTAAATTACAATAACTTTTTAGCATTATTTTTAATGATTTCCATTATTTTAAAAGGCATGATGGTCTTTTAAAACATGCTACACTAAAAATTACTTTAAGCAATTAATTGCTCATTTAAGAATAAAAAATTTAAATTAATTAGACTTTTACAGTGTGGTTAATTATAACTTAGAATTTAAAAAACATCCCTTAAAAACCAGAGGCTGTATGTGTCAGCATGACAGTAGCCAGTCCTGGAGCCATAGAATTTGCAGCTGCAGAATATTTTATCAGCCATTCACAAAAGCATTGAGACCAGTCAGAATTTATGCCAGACCAGAACCCCGTTTGTTTCAACTGTGCAAGCGGGAAAAAAGATGTTGATTTATTATGGTTAATGACATGCTTTCATGTGTTATTTTGTGTGCTTGTGTAATTATTGTGCATTGATTTGGTGTCAGATCAGTAATTCTCAGTGAGCAGATGCAGCACAGCTTCTCTCTCATCCACTTTCCACACAATAAGAAAAATTATAAATCAAGGTTTGAATGCATTTATAAAAGTTTGTTAAGCAGTGCATTCAAGCGAAAAGTTGCTCTTTAAAAGCTGAAGACCACTGAAGATGAGCACGCTCTCAACAAAGACTGAACATTACAGGGTGCATTTACTAAGCTAGTGTTTACTGCAAGGCTAATATATTAGACTGTATTACAGAGAATGCACATTTCTGGCTAATTAAAGAAACTTAAGTGCTCTATATTATATATTTAGCTTTATAGAAGATGCCAATACAATAAGATGTCAAACAAAAAAGGTATTATTGAGAAAGTTTCTATCTCCATTACCTTCGTTAGTTTATAGTGAATCAAACTGTACCTGTCAATGAGGGCAATGATGATGTTCTTGACATTGACATGCTGATGAAGCTCAGCGCAGGAACGCAGGAAAGGGTTCAGGGTCTGGAGGTGGAACTCATCTGGGAAAACCTTAGAAGACAAGACTATTTCAGTCCAGGAGCATAGGGCTATGCATATACTTTATATTAGGGCTGGATATTACAGAGTCCTGCATGGGGTGGGGTACTTGTGGGTAAACGGGGAAATTTATTTTATATAAATTCACTGGTATGGTCAAAAATAACCTAAATGTGGGTGATGGCAAAAAAAATAAAGGAAGTCACTTTCAGCTTTTCCCGTTTAGGGGTCGCCACAGCGAATAGTCACACTGACGACTTGCATGTTGACATTTGGCATGCGTTTCACGCTGGATGACCTTCCTGACGCAACCTGGATTCGAACCCGGGGCGCCGCAGCGAGAGCACTGTGCTTTAACCACTAGCCTACCAGGGATGGCGGTGGTAGCAAGAAATGATAAATATAAAAATAACGGCTAGGCACAAGTGAATCAAATTGCATAACTTAAAAATGAAATTAGCTAGTAGTGAACAATAATAGTTTTGAGATAAAAGTCCGATTTTCATCCCCACTTTCTGTCCATACAAATGGCTGCCTTACTGACACATGCACTCTATCTATCCTTTTCCCTCAAAAGTGCAAAAGACTTGAAACGAAATCAGTGGCCTGCTGCAGCTGCAAGAGAAAGTAATGGCACCGTTTGCAGTTTCCTGTTTTTCTGCATAATTTGGTCATGAAATGTGATTTAATCTTCACCAAAGTCACAAATATCAATAATCACAATATTTTTAAGCGGATAAAACACAAAGTTATGATCTTTCATGTCTTTATTGAACATACCCATTAAAATACAAAGTGATGGTGGAAAAAGTAATGGCAACAGTGTTTTAATAACAGATTGAACCATGTTAGGCAGCTATAACCTCAAGCAAACATTTCCTGTAGCTGTGGATCAGACCTGCACAATGTTCAGAATGTTCAGGAGGAATTGTGGATCATTCAACCTCAGAGAACTGCTTCAGCTCAGCCATGTTCTTAGGATGTCTGAGATTAATGTCTCTCTGGAGGTCATTCCACAGCATCTCTACTGGGCTGAGGTCTGGGCTCTGACTGGGCCCTTCCAAAAGGTGGATTTTGTATCTCAGTAGCCATTCTGTGGTAGATTTACCCTGATGTTTAGGGTCATTGTCCTGCTGCATCACCCAGCTTGCTCTGAGCTTCAGCTTGCAAACAGCCACCCTGACATTATCCTGTAGGGCACCTGGATAAACTTGGGAATTCATTTTCCATCCACAGTGGCAAGTGGTCGAAGTCCAGAAGCAGCAAAGCAGCCCCACATCATGATGCTCCCTCCACCGTATGTCACTGTTGGAATGATGTTTTCTTGTTGGTATGTTGTTCTCTTTTTACACCATACGTAGCGCTGTGTGTTCTTCCCAAACAATCCTACCTTTGCTTCACTGAACATTTTCCCAGTAGCGGTGTGTGGTGTCAAGGTGGTCTTTGGCAAACTTCCGGCGTGCTGTAATGTTGTTTTTGGAGAGCAATGGCTGCCTCTGTGGCGTCCTGCCGTGGATACCATGGCTGTTCAATATTGTGTGTATGACATATTCTCTGCTGACTCATGAACAGAGATGTTAATGAGCTCCAATGAATCCTTCAAGGCTGTTACTCTAGGGTTCTTTACCTCAGTGAGCATTCTGCATTGTGCCTTTGGAGTGATCTTGGCTGGGCACCCACTTCTATGGAAAGTAGCCACAGAACTAAATTGTCTCCATTTATAAACAATACAGTGCCTTGGAAAAGTATTCATACCCTTGAATTTTTTCACATTGCAACCACAAACTTAAATGTATTTTATTGGGATTTTATGTGATGACCAAAATAAAGTATTGCACAATTGTGAAATGGAAGGAAAATATGTGGTGGTCAAGATTTTTTACAAATAAAAATCTGAAAAGTGTGGTGTGCATATGTATTCAGCCCCCTTGAGTCAATACTTTGTCGAAGCACCTTTCGCTGCAATTACAGCTACGAGTCTTTTGGGTGCATCTTGTTAGGTGTTTTTAGTCAGATAGACATTGGTTAGATACTTGATTTATTAGAAATGTTTAGTGTAGACAGGATGTCTAGCTCAGGCTGTTAAATGCTTAGTCACTCTCATGAGTTATTGCAGGTTGCTTATGGTCAAGGATAACTAGATAGAAAGTTGATGACTGTTAGAAGACAGGATGTTTAATATTATGACGTGTATAACTGTAGCCATAGCCATAATATTTTCATATGTTTAATGTTAGGACATGTCACTAGAGGTCGTGTTAGAATGTTTTTAGTTACACACCACAAACAAACATTCACACATTGATTTTTCCTCATGTTTTGACTACTGCTCTGGCCAGCTGGTCCATGAACAGCAATTTTCAAGTCTTGCTACAGATTCTCAATAGGATTTAGGTCTGGACTTTGACTGCGCCATTCTAACACATGAATATGCTTTGATCTAAACCATTCCATTGTAGCTCTAGCTGTATGTTTGGGGTCGTTGTCCTGCTGTAAGGTGAACCTCCGCCCCAGTCCCAAGTCTTTTGTAGCATCTAACAGGTTTTCTTCCAGGATTACCCTGTATTTAGCTCCATCCATCTTTCCATTCAACTCTGACCAGCTTCCCTGTCCTTGCTGAAGAAAAGCATCCCCCCCAGCATGATGCTGCCACTAACATGTTTCACGGTGGGGATGGTGTGTTCAGTATGATGTACAGTGTTAGGTTTCTGCCACACATAGCGTTTTGCACGTAGACCAAAAAGTTCCAATTTTGGTCTCATCTGACCAGAGCACCTTCTTCCACATGTTTGCTCTGTCCCCTACATGGCTTGTGGCAAACTGCAAATGGGACTTCTTATTGCCTTCTTTCAACAATGGCTTTCTTCTTGCCACTCTTCCATAAAAGCCAGATTTGTGGAGTACACGACAAATAGTTGTCCTGTGGACAGATTGTCCCACCTGAGCTGTGGATCTCTGCAGCTCCTCCAGAGTTACCACGGGCCTCTTGGTTGCTTCTCTGATTAATGCTCTCCTTGTCTGGCCCGTGAGTTGCCCACCAGGACAATAGGCATCAGTCGGTCCACAGGGGAGGATTCAAAGACAGGTAACGACTCTCACTGATACTGGGCTATAACGACTCAGTCGTTAGGGGACATTGTTGGCCTTCAAGGGACTGAAACACCACTGAGGGGGGATAAATATCTCCAGCTCAACATCAGTCAGGCAGAACTGATGAAGCCTCTTGGATGAGAGGTGAAACATCTTCGACCTGGAAATCTAGTCCAGTTGATTTTTTCTAAGTTTTCTTCAGCAAGGAGTATGAATACTTTTGCAAGGCACTGTATGTCTAAATGTGCACTGATGAATATCTAAAGTCAGTGAGATGACTTTGTGACCCTTTCCAGCTACATGCAAATCAACAACTCCTGATTGTAGGTCTTCTGGGACCTCCTTTTTTTTTGCGAGACATGGCTCACATCAGCTGATGCTGCTCGTGAATAGTACACTGACACAGTGTTTTTATAAGTCAAGATCGTTCTAAACCACACTTCTACTCTCGTTTCATTGACTGGACTCCAGGTTTGATAACGCCTGACTCCAGTTTACATTTAGTGACTTCAGAAGCCGAGTGATGCCATTACTCTTTCCACCATCACTTTGTGTGTTTAATGGATTTGTTCAATAAAAACATGAAAGATCCTAAATGTTTGTGTTTTATCAGCTTAGAAATATTGTTTGTTGATATTTGTGACTTTGGTGAAGATCAGATCACATTTCATGACGCAGAAAACCAGGACATTGCAAACAGTGCCATTACTTTTACTTGTGTAAGTGATAGTAGAAAAAGTGATTCTTTATTGTAAAATTACCGTTACATCATGGCCAATAACAGATTAGCTCAGTACTGATGTCAAAACAGACTGAATCAAGGCATCCCAGGGGTCTACCTGAATGATGCACTCCATCAGATACTCCTGAGCCAGTGAGTCCCTGCAGTTCACTACCTGCTCCAACACTCCAGGAAGAACAATCTGTGGAAAAAAAAACAAAGAAAAGCTGATTCACTGGCAGATGCCAAATTACCCAAGCTAAATGATTGTACAGTAGGGAGTTTATGCAGCGAAATCCTCTCTAAATCTGTTTAGATTTTATTGGTGGGTGTGACCATCACAAGAGATGCTCCAGCATTTTCTCCAGCTTCATCTATCCCTTGTACAAAGTAGAACATGGTTCGTGTCAGCATTTATCCAGGATATACAAGTACTGAAAGGATGACTCAAAAGGTTTCCACAGATTCCCCCTGAGTAGGAGTGGAATGTCTCAAGTAAAAATCTGATCTGTTTGGTTCATGGTTTGGGGCATGTATAGGGCTGCTCAATTATAGAAAAAATCATAATCACGATTATTTTGGTCATGATTGAAATCACGATTATTTTACACGATTACTCGACTTTGGAAATATGTTGCATTTATTGAACAGAACAGTGAAAAACAAATTAAGACAGATAAAGGCAAACAAGACCAACACTGTAGTGCACTTCCACAACTTTTTTAAAAACAAGTAATAAATAAAATATAAATTATAAATGAAATAAATAAATTTGTCCAAAACAAGTTTGCTCACGTATGTGCCTTAAACTGAAAACTTCTATTTAGAACTAACAAAAAATAAGTTTAACTTCAACTTTAGCCTAAGTAAACATGTTTCAACATGGCCAAAATGTCCTTTCTGTTTGTTTATTAGTTGGTCATATGTCGGTCTGTGTTTGAATTTTAAATGGTTGAAAAGATGTGTGGTGTTACCAGCTGGTGCCAACACAACCGCGTAGCAAATCTTGCATGTACTATGTTTTTAATCCACGTCCGCTTCTTCGAATGCAAAATGTTCCCAGACAACAGAATTTCTTCTACCTTTTTTGTTGACCAAAGACTTCTGTGGCTGCTCTTTTTCTGCCATCTTCCCTCGCGCTAGGTCAATGCGACCTAGAAGTCATGTGAGTTGAACAATGAGCTTATATAAGTTGGTCAAAGGATGCGTGAACTTTAAAAAACAGAATAATCGTTTTTTCTCGATTACACCATTTTTGTGATCGTTGAGCCCCGAAATTGAAATCGAAAATTTGATTAATTGCACAGCCCTAGGCATGTATATATTAAGTTAATCTGAAATAGGTTGAGGCATGAACATAAAAAAATCTAGTGGAACTTACTGGCACGGATGAATTGCAGCTGCCATCAAACAGTGAGAGCGCATTACTCACAGCTTTCTCCTTCTTCATGTCAGAGAGACCTGAGCAGTAATTTAAACAGCAAAGCCCAAATACCTCTTGTTCAAAAGTTAATTTAGCAACTTGACCTGTTGTAATGCCAGTAATAATAAGCATTTAACATTTTGTAACATTCTGTCTGTCATAGGTTTGCAGTGGATTCATGGTACCATACGCATATGCTTATTACTGGAATTGAAGAAAAAAATAATGCGTGCACACGTTTCTTCACTGACTGCCTGTCAGACTCTACAGTGGGCGTGGGTGTGGTATGAGAAAAGATTTCCTAAGTTGTACTGATAACACAAAACACAACATTGTCATTTAACACAACACCAGAAAAAAAATGTATGCAAACTTGAAAAAAATTAATGCTCAACTAAATCAACAATTTGACCACAGGAGGCGGCTGTGTCACTGTGGAGAGTAATGCTGCATCATCACATTTGTCATTGGACTGAGGTGCATTATGGAGAAATGGTGGCAGAGGACATGAGCACATCTTTCTAACATTCATCCTTTGTTGTCATGTCACTGTTTTAAAAGGTGAGTAACAATGATTACTAAGATAAAACAAGAGCAGCTGCAGAAGATGCAACGTGTTTATAATATTTTGACAGAAGACTTTTTTTTTCTAAACTAATGTTAGCCAAGATGGACAGATGAATTTAGCTCAAGTAACGTTACCTTAGCATTCACCATTAGCTATAATTTGCTGTGTTAAACTTCATGGATTTAATATAAAAGCTAGTCTATGATACCAACCAACAAAACATCAATTGAGGATGTTTTCACACTTGGTCCCTTTTAAATGAACCAAACTCAGCCCTCTTTAAAGTGGACCAAAAAGGGACCAACAAGGGGCTCGGTTCTTATTGTGTTCACACTGCGAGTACATTTGAAAAAGGATTCAGTTCCCTTTCTGGTCCACTTCAGCTCTGATGGGACCTCAGTCCTCTTTCTGTTCATACTATAGTGACTCTGGAGCTCTCAGACCTTTACTGCTTTCACGTGTGGCTTTAATGTCAAAGGATTCTCTACTTTATTTTTATTGTGTGTGGTAAAGTACTTTTGACAGTTTTACTCCACTGCAGTGGAGTCCTAATGAAGCCCCTCACTCTCGTAAGACCTGAAAACTGAAGGGAAACCTTAGCATGCCTGTGCATTATAGACAGTTGTCATTTGAAGTGTTATTTGTTCCGTATCTGTAGAAGTGCAGTAGCTTCTTCCTTACATCAAATTATTCATCCATATGTGCATCACTAAGATTTTTAACAGTACTACTACCAATACTGCTTATCTTTGGCTGTCACTCGAAGTTGTTTCTTTACCTCAGTGATGAGTCTTTGTTGTGCTCTTGGGGTCATTTTGACTGGGTGCCCACTTCTTGGTAGAGTAGCCACAGTCCCAAAGTGTCTCCATTGGTAGATCATTGCCTAACTGTAGACTGATGAATTTTTAAATCACTTTATAACCCTTTCCAGCTTTATGTGACTTCCTGATCGTAGATCCTCTGAAAGCTCTTTTTGGTGAGGCATGGCTCACATAAGCATATTCTTGTGTGGAGCAAACTCAAAAGGTTTGAGTGGTTATTAACTGTCAAAGTAGCTCTAGTCCACACCTCCAAACTCATTTTCTTAACAAAACTCCAGGTATGCCAACACCTGACTCAATTAGCTTTTTTGAAGTCATTAACTCAAGGGTTCACATACTTTTGCCACTAGCACTATGAGGTTTTTATGGTTGTTCTCAATAAAGACATGAAAGATCAGAATTAGTTTTTTTTTTTTGTTATTCTTTCTACAAACCCGATTCCAAAAAAGTTGGGACACTGTACATAATGTGAATAAAAACAGAATGCAATGATGTGGAAGTTTCAAATTTCAATATTTTATTCAGAACACAACATAGATGATATCAAATGTTCAAACTGAGAAAATGCATCATTTTAAGGGTATAATAAGGTGATTTTAAATTTCATGACATCAACACATCTCAAAAAAGTTGTGACAAGGCCATGTTCACCACTGTGTGGAATCCCCTCTTCTTTTTATCACAGTCTGCAAACATCTGGGGACTGAGGAGACAAGTTGCTCAAGTTTAGGAATAGGAATGTTGTCCCATAATACAGGCTTCCAGTTGCTCAACTGTCTTAGGTCTTCTTTGTCGCATCTTCCTCCTTATGATGCGCCAAATGTTTTCTATGGGTGACAGATCTGAACTGCAGGCTGGCCATTTCAGTACCCGGATCCTTCTTCTATGCAGCCATGATGTTGTAATTGATGCAGTATGTGGTCTGGCATTGTCCTGTTGGAAGATGCAAGGTCTTCCCT